GCTATCAATGTTCATTACATAGCATTATATATTTACATTTCTTCAATATTCATATATTCATGTACTTATATTTGTATCTGTTCAGCTGGGCTCAATATTGTTCTGTCCATTTACTCTGCTCTTGTCTCTAAACATTATTTTATAGTTTATATTTGTTAATTGCCCCATATACACATTTTACATTACTAGACTTTGCCAATAAGATGTTCAGATCTTGGGTAATAAAGCATATTTTGATTTAATTTGAAAATGAAATGAATAAAATAAATTTCCTCACCTGGAGTTTTGAAGAGATTCTCGGACAATGAGATGCTGCTGCCATTACTTGGAGACCGCTCCCTGGATTTTGAACTAGAGTCCGCTTCAATCTTCGGAATCTCGATTTGAATTAGCCTGTGAGACACGGTCACATCTTCTCGAGGCACCTTTTGTGTAGGGGCTTTCTTCTTATTTTTCGCAAGCTTCAATATCACGCTTAGTGGCGGAGGTTGCTGCTCTGCGTTCCCGTCTTCTGATTCCGGACCTGAAGAAATGGACTGAGCCGAAGCTGATCGAGCGCTCATAGGGCTGGAAGTTCCTGTGTTTGCGTTAATTGACTGTGTTGAAGTTGATCTGGCGCTCATTGGACTGGCAGTTCTTTCATTTGAGTTATTTCCGTTGAGTTCTGCGTCGCAGAATTCACTATCAGGGATTTTCACTTTGCGAATTTTCTCACGGAGGGACTGTTCGATTATTTCGTTGGAGTAGCCAACTCCTGAGACCTGGAAAATTGATATTCTTTTGACCAATACACTAACAATTTTGATTTACACCAATTTTTGTATTACTGGTAGTAGTAGTAAATGTAAAACATAGATCGGACACTTAAGACAGGTACTTAACTATATACATAAATAAAAAATAAAAATATTGGCCATATTTACATACAGAGTACAATTGGCAGGTCGAAAAAGTCGCTGACAGTCAGGAGAATATAAAAATTTCATGTTACCTAGATAAAAATTAAAAAATTTAAGAGTATAGAAGAAGAAGAAGAAGAAGAACTTTATTTCCAGATAGGCAAGCCTAAAATAAACATAATTAATGTACTTTATCTAAATATAATACACAAAAATCTAAATAAACTAGTATATTATAACCAAATAACAGAAAATCACAAAAAAGAAAAAA